ATACAGCGCCATTTCTTCAACTGTTCTCTAGTAGCCTGAGCTGTCAAACAGCTCTTCCATCCCAGAAGAATCGAGAATACCACTGCAAATAAAATTCTGAGATATTACTGAAGAATAACAGCTGTCAATTACAACACAACTGGATGCAGTTAGAGAAGTACATCAGAGAAAAAAACTTAGCTTGTAACATCACCCTATATAAAAATGCACAAACTATAGTTTAATATTTTAAGTAAATGTTATCTCAAACCACATCAATTATTTCACTATTATTAATAGTAAAACTTAATGGTAACATTATTTATATATTAATATTAAAAATAAATGCATATATGCATAAACAAATGCATCATAGTTTGGTTGCATCATCAAAATTGATACCCATGTATATTACTGGAACTCGAGAAAATAAGCGTATTTGTGAAAGACATTTTCATATAAAATCATTTCTCATTTCTCTGGATTCATAGAAAAGATCAATTAACTAAATTAACATCAAATTTTTTAAGTGACAAAGCCTTTTGATTCAGAATATATCTCAGTACTCATCTGTAAAGGCGAAATTTCTCCTACATTTTCTCAAATCTACTGAAGTATTTGTTACTGAATTCTCTAAGAGAGAAGAATGAAAGGGGGCAGATGAAGGGGACCACACTTCTGTGCTCCTGCCTAAGGGTATTTCCATCTTGGGTGAACTCTAAGGCCATTTTGCAGGTAAAGTATTTACATCAATTTCCAAACAGATGCCTCAAGAACAGTTTTTTTACTCCATTTTAACTCTATCTGCCGTCATTCTGAGTTCAAATCAATATCACAAATTCAAAAATTTGAGAAAGGAAGAAAAAGGTATCACTGGAATTTTAAGTGCTTATTCTAGGGGCTTCTGGATTGCTGGCACTTCTTTTTCTCCTCTTTTGCTTTACAACTATTGTGTTCCATGTTCCACATTGCTTCCTATTCTATGTAAATGTCATTTTCATTAAAAGATTCGTGGGCCGAAAATAGACAGAGCAGGTGAGTAGCCCAGCAGGCAGGCCAGTCAGCTGTGAGAAGTGGTCTGCTTCTGCATACAAATCACCCTTAAATGGAAAATATGCACGACCGCCCTCCCAGGAGGTAGGACATCTGCCCATGGCGATTCCAATCACCGCTATGTCCTGCCCCGGGCTCTGCGCTTCCCTCCACTCATGCTCTCTGAATCCTGCAGCATTTTCTGCACATAGACAGAGCTTTAATGGGTGCACAGATTCCACACCCCCCCCCCCCACCCTCCCATACATAATCCCTTACAGGCTGTTAGTAGGGACCCTTCAGAGAGATGGAAGCCATTAGTTCAACTCTCTATGACTGAAGAAGGAACTGGATCTTGAAAGGATGATGTAACCATTAAATCACCATATTAAAAGAAGGGTAGCATCTTCCCTTCCCACTGCTGTATTTAAGGAAAAGAGGGATCTCTCTTCAGTTATTGGAAGGAAAGGAGGTAGGTGCCTCTTCTCAGAACACAGTTTCACGCTGTGGGTCCCAAGAGTGAAAAAAAAAAAAAACCCAAACCAAAAATCCAAACCAGAGGAAAGTGTCATGTTAGTCAGTGATTCCTTTTGACTGGTCTAGCCACTTGCATGCTGAAGGGCACCAATTTTAGCAATCTTCCTGTTGAGACTGGCGTCCATTCAACAGTCTGTCTTCTGACACACCTCATCCTCCCACGCAACACAAACAGAACCTACACTTTTTTGCCCATGTACTATGCTGTGTTTTGCAGGCCCACCTAAAAGTTAGATGCTGTATCATCCAGCTGCTTTAATGATTCTAAGCACGCACTGCTGCACTCACACACACAGAATGGTTGAAGTTGGAAAGGACCTCTGCAGGTCATCTGGTCCAACTGCTTGCTCAGGCAGGGTGACCTAGAGCCAGTTGTCCAGGACTGTGTCCAGACAGGGAACAGATCACTTGCCTCGGCCTGCTGGCAACACTTTTGTCTAATGCACCCCAGGGTAACATTAGCCTCTTTGCCACAAGGGCACACTGCTGGCTCATGGTCAACTTGGTGTCCACCAGGATGCCCAAGTCCTTTTCTGCAAAGCTACTTTCCATCTGGGTGGCCCCCAGCATGTACTGGTGCTGGGGGTTGTTCCTCCCCAGGTGCAGGACTTTACACTTCTCCCTGTTGAACTTCATGAAGTTCTTGTCAGCCTATTTCTCCAGGCTGTTGAGATCCCTCTGGATGGTAGCATGACCCTCTAGTGTATCAGCCACTCCTCCTACTTTTGTGTCATCAGCAAACTTGCTGAGGGTACGCTCTGCTTCGTCATCCAGGTCATTAATGAAGATGTTAAACAGAACTGACCCCTGGGGTACACTGCTAGTTGTTGGCCTCCAACTAGACTTTGTGCCATTGATCACCACTCTCTGGGCCTGGCCGTTCTGTCATTTTTCTATCCAACTCACTGTCTCTTATCCAGTCCATACATCATCAGCTTGTCTATGAGTAACTTATGGGAGATAGCAGCAAAGTTGTTCCTGAAGTCCAGGTGGCAAAACAAAAAGGAGCATGAGATCAGTACTGGCTCTTAAGCCATAATTTTCAATAACTCTAACTTCAGAGACAACTTTGAAGACTGTTATTGTGGAAAAATATGAAGAAAGCAAAGACAGAAGGTTAGGTGTTTTTTTTCTGATATGAATGTGCAAAACATATGGTCCTTGTATAGTGATGCTGTATTGGGTTTGCGTGGCAAGGTTTTGGTAGTGAGTGGGCTACAGGGGTGGCTTCTGTCAGGAGCTGCGAGAAGCTTCCCCTGTGTCCAACAGAGCCAATGCCAGCCGGCTCCAAGACGGACCCACCACTGGCCAAGGCCGAGCCCATCAGCAACGCTGGTAGTGCCACTGCGATAACATATTTAAGAAGGAGAGAAAAAAAAAAAACACCACAGCAATTGCAGCTGAAGAGAGGAGTGAGAATATGTCAGAAGAACAACTCTGCAGACACCAAGGTCAGTGAAGAAGGAGAGGGAGTAGGTACTTCAGGTGTCAGAGCAGCGATTCTCCTGCAGGACATGGTGAAGACCATGGAGAGGCAGGCTGTCCACCTGCAGCCCATGGAGGTTAATGGTGGAGCAGTGATCCACCTGTAGCCTGTGGAAGACCCCATGCTGGAGCAGGCAGATGCACTCGAAGGAGGCTGTGACCCTGTGGGAAGCCTGTGCTGGAGCATTCTGTTCCTGAAGGACTGCACCCTGTGGGAGGGACTTCACACTGGAGCAGTCTGTGAAGAACTGCAGCCTGTGGATAGGACTCATGTTGGAGAAGTTCATGGAGGATGGTCTCCCATGGGAGGGACCCCACACTGGAGCAGAGTAAGAGTGTGAGGAGTTGTCACCCTGAGGAGGAAGGAGTGGCAGAAACAACATGTGATGAACTGACCGCATCCCCCATTTCCCGTTTCCCTGTGCTGCTGGAGGGGAAGAGGGAGAGAAAATTTGGAGTAAAGTGAAGTCCAGGAGGAAGGGAGGGGTGAAGAGAAGGTGTTTTTAAGATTTGGTTTTATTTCTGATTATCCTACTCTGATTTGATTGTCAATAAATTAAACTACTTTCCCCAAGTCAAGTCTGTTTTGCCTGTGACAGTAATTAGTGAGCAATCTGTCCCTGTCCTTATGTCAACCTATGAGCCTCTTGTTGTATTTTCTCTCCCCTGTCCATCTGGGTTGGGGCAGTGATAGAGCGGCTTTGGTGGGAACCTGGCGTCCAGCCAGGGTCAACCCACCAGAGATGCTCATGTATGCCTTTCAAGTTCTGACAGGATCACAGGATCACTGGTACTATAGTAACTTGCGCTAGAAGTATCCTATCATGCTTCCTGACCTGCTTCTTCCTCCAGAAACTCACGTTCATGAGTATTTTATGTATACAGTAACCATTTTCAAAACTAGCAAAGTCTTTCTGTGGTCAAAACCAACTACAACTGAATGACTGAAATGGGATTTTTTAAGAATTATTTGTATAATTTTGGACATTTGTTTTCAGATGGATTAGCTACAACAACAGGAGAATATGACAGAAGCAGGACTTAACATTATCAAACAGCCAGCCAAGGAAACTGGGAGGAACATCTGGTGTGTAGTCATCGAGGTGCCTTGATAAGAAGACAAGTCCCTTATGGAACGACCTCCTGGTTTTCTGTAGATCTTGAACCATATGGTCTATGAACAAGCTCCAGTGAACATCCTTCTGGCCGTAGCTGACTTGCATCATAACATTTGAGAGCGCAAATCAGGGACCATTACGCAAGACAGACCTCTTTTCTCAGATCTCTGATCATATTGCCTAAGTACCACACTATGTATTTAGAGAATGTTAAGTGACTAAAATCCTCTTTTCTTTGGGGTCGAGGGGTGGCGGGTGGGCTGGAAGCTATGCTTTCGGAGTTGAACACAAAACTGGTAGTGAAATAGCAACAGTGGGTAGTATAGTGCACGAGACACTTGAGAACCTTCAGTCAAACCAAGACTGACCCTAAGCAAGAAAAATAAGAAATGTGAGTAATCCAATTTTGCCTTACTCTACCCCTTACAGTGAACTGACAGACTTAATTATGGAAGAGGCAGACATGGAAGAAGATGCCCTTTTCCTTTTCTTACCAATCTCTCTTGCTCCTCAGCAAAATATTTTCCTGTTATGACTGAAATTCTTGTTTCCGAGTTTCTGATTCTGACAGTACTATTCCCTTCAAAGGGACAGCAGGTTATTACCTGCACTAGCCATGACCGTCCTTATACAGAATAAAAAAACCCTGATTATCAAAGGTTTTCATATCTGCTTCAGTTCCTAGGCCAGATGCACAGTTCCAGCATGATGACAGCAGAGCCGGTGGATAAATGCCTGCCCTGGCAGTCCTCTCCTCTCTGAGACTGGACTCCTCGGGGCATCACAGTCCAGCAGATTTCTTCTCACTCTCCCATGGCTGTGGTGAACAGCTTGTGTGTGTACTCACAGACAGCACGATGGATGACAAATCTCTGAGCCAGGGATTATCAAGGCCTTTCACGAAGGAAATCTAAGGGCTAATGTTTCTCCCTTGAATTCAATGTGATTACTAATGGAGACTAAAACCTAAGATTCAATGTGAAATGTGATATAAACAAGAGAAGAACATGTTAAAAGAAGATAAACAGTGCCTTTCAGTGTACTACTTTGTATAAATCTAAGTGTGTGTATTTAATATTTAATAGCTCATCATGAACTGCAAACCACTGAACCAATAAATTAGGCTTTTGTGCTGTATTTGCAATGCCTTTCTGAAGTCCAATTATGAAAGTGCTTCCCCTTCCCAATTAATCTGGGTTGTTACTTTCTTAAAAGTTGAGATACTTTATGCATGGTTTCCCTTTCGTAAAACCACGCTGAATATCTAAGCAGCAAAACACAATGGATTATGCAGCGGTATAAATAATGCAGATCTGGAGTGTTAATTGAAGCACAAGGCAAGGCAGAGTCATGGCCTGAACTTTCAATTGCTACTTGCCAAAGTAATTCTAATTGACCTCAACGGGACTGTGCATGCGAGTTCAAATTACTCCTGTGAGTAAACATTAGGAGGTTAGGTCCTTATCACTCCAGCATGTCTGAAGCAGCTTGCTTTTCGGACACGCTGGAGTTTTTCTGTGAAGCATTATTGTTGATGAGAATTAATTAAAATATTTCAAAGAAACCTAAAATATGCCTTTAAAATTATCTTTTTACTCTGACTAATATAATCTGGAACAAAATTTACACCATTACAATCTTTCTTCGTAGGTGCTTAAGACACACTAAATTTTTCTTTATTCTTCCCTTTTCCCTTTCGGTATTTAAGCCTCACCCTTTGACTGAGATATGAACGAATGGTTCTTTCTTCAACAGTCCTCCTTCCTTGTCTGACTCTATTATGGAAAAACAAAACCGGAAGAATTAAACATCTCCCAGTTGTGCTTTCCAATAGAAAATTAAAGTATTGCAAACAGATTACTGAGCCACAGGAGGCACATTGTGGCATATAGGACAGCAGGGCTTTGAAATTCAAATGTAGCTCTTTTTCTTTGAAATCCTGCCATGGGTGTAGCTCTCTCAGCACTGCCCTGAAGCTGAAACAGCTGCTTTAGTTTCCTTTTACAGTGATTTACTAATCACTCAGTTGGAAGAAGAGGGGCTCAATTCTATAATTTAGTAACAAGTGAACAAAAAGGCACACTGTACTTGGTAGTTTCCAGACCAGCTTTTGGTAACTCAGAATAATACAAAATCACCAGAATCTTAAGAACTGCACTTCCCTTTCTTAGATGCCCTTACAGACTCAGCGTACGGGAGCATCCAGTAACCTTATACTTAAATACTTAAGGTGAATAAAACATCGGCTTTTCTCAGCAGTGAAAATGACTTTTAACGTAAGGCTGAGCTACCCAGTTATTTACTTCCTGTGTTCTTTTCTCTTCTTCCTGCTGAAGTTGAGCGGGTAATTTAATTAGTCTCTTAATTTTTACTGAGTCTCTTTCAATAAGACTCTGTGTACTGATTCCTCAAGGCCAGCCAGCCAATATATGTTGCCCTCATATTTGAGAAATTGGGTGGCATCCTGCAGCTGCTTCTGAAAACTTTCTGTTTCTTAATGTTGTCCTGATATCCTGCAAGAATGCAGAACACATCATTGCTTTTCTGGAAAATGTACTCGTCTGACATTTGAACAGCATGTCCTACAGCTTTGACAAAGGAGCAGTGTGAGGTGAATCACATAGCCAGGTGAAAAAGATTTCACTAGCCAGGAGGCCTGAAAAGAAGAGTTACACTGTCAGGACAGCAGGATAAAAATCTCCTCAAAACAAACAAACAAAAAGTTAATAGTAACTATATAGAAAATAGTAAGGAAGGTGAGACAAAAACCTAGAATGGAAAGCACGAAAAAAATCCAAAATCCAGAATGGAAAGAGCAGAACAGGTATCAAACTTTGATTGTAAGGCATGCATTATGATATATTTACGTACAATATATGCTTTATAAAACTACATCAAAATTTTCTTGTTTTCCTGTAATACTATTGTTTGATAAGGTGGTTAATGTCAGTTTGCATAACTTATTTAACCAATGGAAATTTCTAATTTTAAATCTCAGGCTAGAGATCTCAACTCACACTTAATTAGGACTCCTGAAATAGGTTCTTTGATAAATATTTCTATCTGTTTCAATATATACCCTACTCTTCCCCCAAAGTTGCATATTTTTCCCTCCATTTTAGTTTAATCTCTCTCATATTCCAAATATTTTGGACATATCTAATGAGCGTCCTTGTTTACCTGTTGCTATTTCATAGATTCCTACTGTAGAGAATCTTCCTCCATGTCCCAAACTCCATGACACTTACTTCATCGACAGACTTAAACATTTCAAACTGCTGAAAGTTCATTGTCATACTTTCAATAGGTCAGCATAGACCAATATTTTAGAGCACATGATCTCTCATGAGTCAACAGAGTAGACTGTCTGTTTTTATAATATGGTTTTGTGAAAGAGGAACAATAAAGGTAGAAGAACCAAGTGTGATGTTACAGCGCAGGCTACACCGAGTGCAAACTCAACTGACAACACCACACTGCAGTGTCCTCCAGCAAGTTCTTCCTATATATAGCAGTGATCTTGTGTCTGTCACACAGCATCGCCAGCCTACGTAACACTGTAACAATTAAGTGACTCAATCACCAATTCAGGGTTGCTTCTCTTACCCATGCACACAGAAACAGCTGTTCCACTGCCTCAGGGGTTCCTTTTCTTTGACACCTACTTGGCACGGGCTGTTTGCCAGGCACTTGCTGACGCATCCAGACAGTTTTGCTGCTGCTGCTTTTTAGTGCCAAAGCCTGGAAGACTCAAACATGCTCTAAGCTGCAAATATAGCAAAAGTGCTCTGTACGTCCACAGAGGTGCAGACTTGACTTTTTACGTCACCTCTACAACTCCTAGAAAAAATGAGCGTTGCAGTGGGGCGACAAAGGAGAGATCTAACAAATGCAACCAACACAGCAGCGCAATGGTAAAAATTACACTCCAGTAACATCCCTGTCAAAGGGGTACAGCGCAGCTTTGTTACGATGGCCCCATCTCCGCAAGGATACCACCAGCGGAACACTAAACAGGATAACCAGGAGCATGGTCACAAATTTTAGGGCTCTCAAGCACATTAGAGGCACACTTTGTTGTTCTTCTTTTACGAATCACAGAATTTTTATCACCTCATTTATAATTTAGTATTACCTGTCAGGAAAAACCTACTCTAATACACACTCTTCATTTATATTTGAAAAAAACACCCTGATATTCCTCGTATTCTCTTACTTATCCTCCCATAAGGTAATTAAGAATCTTACTTGCTATGGGAACACCATTTGCCAACCAGCTTATATTAGGCTTTGGATTGCCGTTAGCTCTGCAGATCAATGTCCCATCTTCTCCAGGAGACAAGACCAAGTTTCTGGGTGCTGTTATCCAGTATGGGGCAGCTGGGGTTAGGAAGAGAAACACAGAATCATTTTCCAGAATCATTTACAGAAAATCATAAGGCACAGTCATGGTAACCAGAACAGAATTCAAACAAGGTGTGTATAGATATAGACTTACACTTACATTGTTATTTTTTTTTAATATATATATATATGTGATACTCAATGATTAACTGGTAGATTATACTTTGGCTAAACTGAGCTATTGGCTACCTGCTGCATTAAAAAGGAGGCAGCTATTCGCTTCAAAATTCTGAGATAAGCAACAAGAGGTTGTTTGTTTCATTTAGGGTTGCTTGCTTTGAATCTAATTTGCCTTTCCTAAAGAAAGCAAAATTTATCTAAGTATGGTATCTGCAGAGACTAGAGTAGTCTTTTGGTTAATTTCGGAAATATCCATGCTTGCAGTAGTTAGGCTGTTAGAAATTAGTTTAGGTTCAATTACACAAAAAGACTTCAGGTCAAGGGTGAAATTTAGAAATGACAAAATCCTCGGTCTCACTGAATTCAATGGATGATTGCAGTGGGACCAGATGTTTACCTGAGACAGCTGAAAACACACAGAGATCAAAATGGATGGATCAACACTGTCCTTACCAAAAGATGTTCATCTATGTCTCCATCTCTTTTACAATAAATAACCACAAATAGCATATGCTATCACATCTTGCAATTGAATTTCAGATTTTAGATTGACAGACAGATGCAAACAGAAGATTAAACTCCTGCTCTTAGAAAGGAGGTTGAATGTGATAAATCATAAAATGATGCTGGTCTACAATAAAACAAATGGCTATTTAGCATGCGAAGTAAGCACTATAGCTGATTATTTCAATGACTAATTAGCTGTCATTCCAGCTTTTTTTCTTTCATGGTATTCAAAACATACTTAAAATTCCTATTTGGACAAACATACTGTAAGTGTTTTTAGAACTAGTAAGACATCATCTTGGATAAAAAACATGAAGAAGATGGAAAACTAGAAATGTCAATTAAGAAAAACGAAGAAGAATATAAGACCATAAGACGAGGAGAGGGAGAGGAGAGGGAGAGGAGAGGGAGAGGAGAAGAAGAGAGGAG